CCTTGCATGCTTTCAAACTATTTGGGCGACCGTCTTCGTCATGGTGAGCATAATAGATATATAACAAAATATATTCTACAGTTGTCAAGATAACGTCGATATTGTACCGTATCCATACCGTAATCATCACTTCAGGTGTCTGTACTCGCTGAAAATTACCAGAAAGCCTGCGAGGCGGCATTGAAAATGGCGATGTTGAAGCCGCCAGTATGGTAAGTATTTCTTACGATTTTCTATAATTTTTTTTTCTAAAAAGGGTGAAAGGAAAGTGAAGTCATGACATTTTAAAAATGGTTTTTCCGATATTCATGGTTCTAAACGAATGAAGTGAAGATTTTCTTTCAGGTTTCTAAAATCAACTATGGAAAATATCAAGTTGATTAATCGATGTGCCGCTACGATAAGTCCCATAGAAAAGGTTTCTACAACGATAATTTTTTGACCTACGTATGTTTTCTGATTTTTGATCTTTTAGGAAAAGCAGCAGTTCCTATTTTGGTCAGAATTCTTCATGGAAGCGATCGATTCTGAAACAGATGTTACTTGTGCCAGATTTCCAGTGCTAATTCAGGAACTTACAAAGGTGAAATTTAGTTAGAAAAATTAGCAGATCGTAATATTAACAAAGAATTTTCTATAAATTGCCGGCATTAGTTTTCAGTTTATAAGAATTCTTTTAGCAATTCACACCATCCTACCTAACCCTGAATGTAACCGAACGATCGATGATTTTGAGTCATGTGCTTGAGAATAGCCAACAAAAGAAACCACCACCTGGTAAGTATGCTTTTCACATGGTACAGGTTTTACTTGATCATAAAATCAATATATCGATTTTTTGCATGAATCTCGATCCGGTTTTCTTATATAGTTTTAGGTATCCATCGTTGGCATTTTACTGCTGGAAACATCAAAGCCGTATCAGCATCGAAACGTGATGATCGGTCGATGTTTCTCTATGTGCATGAGAATTCGGACGATTTCAATCTGGTCTTCCCATCCGCAGCACATTGCAATAAGTTTGTGACAGTTGTCCGATCTCCTTAGAGTAGATCTGAAGGATCAAATTTCAGAGTGATCAATTCCCTTATGGAGATGACCGAAGCAGATG